AGCTCCATCACAGGGTTACTGAACTACAGAGAGGATTCTGGGAATGCAAACCAGAAGCAATTCCACAATTAATCAATTATTGGTATTGATTGAGCTCCTTGATTCTCTCCAACGCCCAGAGTTGGTTAGCTCTGGGATAAGAGCCAAAATGAAGCTCGATGCTCACAAACACATTTATCCCCAACTGTCCATTCTTTGTCGCCACCCTGTGGTCAGTGCTGCACATGACATGCTACCGATAACAGAAAACTGATTTATTAGAAGTGGAAAAGTACCTCTTTGTGTGGCATCACATAGAGAATGAAAGCTTCCCCAAGGTACAGACTGGCTCCTGTCTGGGCAGTTCAGTGTTGGTATACTGTAGGTGCTCTAAGAGATGTTTGTTGATTGAATGATATAAAAAAGAACAGAGTCAGGCACCGGTAGCTCACGCCTGTAACCCTAGTTATTCAGGAGGCTGAGATCTGAGGATTGTGGTTCAAAGATAGCCTGGGCAAACAAATCCAGGAGAATTAACTGGCAAAATGTAGAAAAAGGAGGTGTGGCTCAAATCGTAGAGTGCTAGCCCCAGAACAGGCTCCAAGAAAATTAAAAGAAAATAAAGTTACACAATAATATAACCTAAATTCTGCTTAAATCTGAGACCCACCAACCTTTGCTTTTATTTTTAGTGATTTAAAGGGAAAAAAGCAAGGACGTGGCGCTGTGGCTCAAGTGGTAGAGCGCTAGCCTTGAGCTGAAGAGTTGAGGGATAGCACCCAGGTCCAGAGTTCAAGCCCCACGACCGACCAAAAAAAAAAAGGAAAAAAATAGCAAGTGAGCTAAGTACCTTTTCTCTTGTCACATGGGTAGAAGTCCCTGTTACCTGTGTGTGTGTGTGTGTGTGTGTGTGTGTGTGTGTGTGTGTGTGTGTGTGTGTGTTGGTCCTGGGATTTGAACTCAGGGCTTGGGCACTGTCTCTGAGCTTTCTCTCTCTCTCTCTCTTTTTTTTGTCGGTTGTGGGGTCTGAACTCTGGGCCTGGCGCTGTCCCTCAGGTCTTCAGCTCAAGGCTAGCGCTCTACCACTTGAGCCACAGCACCCACTTCTGGCTTTTTCTGCTTATGTGGTGCTGAGGAATCGAACCCAGGGCCTCATGCATGCAAGGCAAGCACTCCACCATTGAGCCACCTTCTTAGCCCCTCTCTGAGTTTTCTTTTGTTCAAAGCTAGCACCCTACTGCTTGACCTACAGCTCCACTTCTGGCTTTTTTGATGGTTAATTGGAGATAAGAGTCTCAGGAACTTCCTTGAGGTTGGCTTTGAACTACAATCCTCAGATCTCAGCCTCCTGAGGATTACAGGTGTTAGCAATCAGCAACTTGCTCTGGAATTGGATTTTTTTGTTAGTCAACATAATTTCTTGGAATCAAGGCTTTAAAATCTTCCTTTGAGGTTAACAATGACTGACAACAAGCCCTCTTTTCTTCTCCAGCAGTTTATATAGTGAGGAAAACCATGACCTCCTTTTCTATAAAATAGAAAAAGGGACCAGTACATTAGGTGAGTGGCCCAGAGGTCTGCCTGGACCCTAGGAAAGTTTTGTGATGTAAAGGTTGCCATGGCAATTCCCTACAGGGGCGGGGACATTACAGTCCTGGCCCCACCTTTGCTTGCTCTGGGTTGGAGGAAAGAGTATGTCAGGTGCCCTCAATGGTCCAATGAGGAGGTGGTCCAGAGGTCAATTCAGGCTGAGAAGCGTAAAATTGAACCTTGAAGACTGTTCTCAGAAGAGTTTCCCCTTCATTCCTCAAAGTTAAGTGTTCTCTCAGTAGTTTCCTAAAAAGAAAATTCTAGCCAGGGTTGGAATGGATTTATTGCTATTTCTGGAAATTTCAAACCTCACCAGTATCCAAAACAGTGAGGCTAATAATTCTATTTCTTGAGGGCATATGGGTAACCCCTCCAATGAAGACTTCAGAAGCTTAACAGTGTGAGGGTGGTGTGGGCGCTTTTTTTTTTTTTTATCTTTTGAAGTTCTCATCCCTAGAAATAAGAAGCGGCCTGGGAGGTTAGAAAATTAATATATTCTGTCGTTGGTTTATTTTTAATAAACCACTGTGGGCTTCAGGCGTGGGCTATTCTCACAGATTGTTGCCATTCTGACGCCCACCAACAGATAGAAATAAACACAGTAGGTAGGTCAGATTGCAAGACAGCAGTCAAACATGCTCAAACGGCTTCTTTTTCCCCAGAAACAAGTGTTCTGGGAAGAAATGGAGCAAGCAGGTCGTTCTTTGTGTTGTTATATATCCTTGTCTATCACTGGACAACAGATCCTTCCCAAATTTGTAACCTAAAACAACCAAAAAGGAGCTGGGGTGCAGCTCAGTGGTAGAGCACTTGCAGATCAGGGGTGGGGTCCGGGGTTCTACCCCCAGCACCGCAAGGACAAATGGATAAAACCAATAGTAAATGTGTGTGTTTTATAGCTTTAGAGGTCAGGAATTCAGAAGAACTCTGCCTCCAAGGCTTCCACAAGGCTGTTGTCAAGATGTGACCAGAGCTGGACACTGGTGGCTCCTGCCTATAATCCCAGCTACTCAGGAGGCTGAGATGTGAGGATCGTGGTTCAATGCTGGTCTGGGCAGAAAAACCTGTGAAACTCTTATCTCCAGTTAACCAGCAAATGGCTGACAGGGGGGTGTGGTTAAATGGTAGAACTCCAGCCTTGAGTAAAAAAGCTAAGGGACAGCAGCCAGGCCCTGAGTTTAAGACCCAGTATGTATACACACACACACACACACACACACACACACACACACAGCTTTCTTGAGGTGGCCTAGACACTTTTCACCCCAATAGAAGCTGAACCAGCACTCAGCCTGTAGATCAGGGCCACGTGACATGGAGTCCTTGGCAGATCCTGTTCTCATCCGAAGCCTCGTGGACTGTAGGGAGGGGACATTACGGGGCCTGTGTGGATCCTCATGTGAGAGGTGCTGTTTGCACATGGGGGGGCAGCTGCTTCTCCCAGAAGCACTATTTTCAATCTTCATTGCCTCCCCCCCCCGATTACAAAGAAAATATGCTTTTAGAATTGAACGTAAGCTCACACTTGTAATTCTAGCTACTTAGGAAGCTGAGATCTGAGGACTGTGGTTCAAAGCCAGTCCAGGGCAAGAAAGTCTATGGGGCTTTTATCTCCACTAAACTACAAAAAAAAATAAAAAGCCAGAAGTGGTTCTGTGGCTCAAGTGGTAAAGCACTAGCCTTGTGTGGAAAAGTTCAGGAACAGTGCCCAAGCCCTGAGTTCAAGTCCTAGGACTGGCACAATTTTTTTTTTAATGCTTGCTGAAAAAGTTCCTACAGGGACTGGGAATGTAGCTTAATGGTAGAGTGCTTGTCTAGCATGCACGAAGCCCTGGGTTTGGTTCCTCAGTACCACATACACAGAAAAAGCCGGAAGTGACACTGTGGCTTAAGTGGTTGAGTGCTAGACTTGGCAAAAGAAGCTCAGAGACAGTGCTGAGGCCCTGAGTTCAAGCCCCAGAACTGCCAAAAAAAAAAAAAAGTTCCTACACCTCTTTCCCCAAACAGAGCCAGACAGAAGAGAACAAATCAAGATTTCTTTCATTAAAAAAAGAAAAAAGAACAATGCCCAACAAAAGTCTAGACTGGAAAGTCATGCTGGCAGCAACAGGAATAGAAACAAGCAAAGGTCCCCAGTCCTGCAGAGTCTACTCAGACCATCAGGCACTAAATGCTCTGCAGGAGGCGAAGCGCCAGATGCAGGCGCTGGTGGACAGTGCGGTCACAGCCTTGGTTCCGAAGGGTTTTCAGTGAGTAGCAGGTGCCCGGATGGCCTGGCTCCAGCTGGGTGAGCTGCAGCCCCTCCCCCTCCCCACTCACCACCAGCTGGGCCTGGGCTGCACCAAAGCTGACCTGTGAGGGAAAGAGCCTGTGTCAAAGGGACATGGAGTTCCAGGGTTCCACTCTAGCCAAGTGCTGGTGGCTTATGCCTGTAATCTTAGCTACTAGGTGGCTGAGATTTGAGGATCCTGGTTCAAAGCCATCCTGGACAGGAAGGTTTGTGAGACTCTTATCTCCAATCAACTGGTAAAAAGCCAGAACTGGAGGTGTGGTTCAAGTAGCACAGCATCTTTGAACGGTAAAGGTGAGTGAGCATGTGAGGCCCCCACCACAAGTCTCCCACTGTATTGTCAGAAACTGAGGCTCAGATTGGAGACTCAGCTGCCTGTGATCATTGGATAACTCCCCCCCCCCACACACACACTTAAGCCTAGGTCCTCCTCACTAAGTATCACTGTCCTAGCTTCAAGTAGGATCACTTAAGGACAATTTGTGTGTGTGTGTGTGTGTGTGCGCGCGCGTGCGTGTGCGCATGCGTGAGCACACGCTAGTACACACTTGAACTAAGGGCTTGAGCACTGTCCTTAGCTTTTCCACTCAAGCTTGGCACTCTACCACTTGAGTCACAGCTCCATTTCTGGCCTTTTGCTAGTTAACTGGAGTCTCACAGACTACCGTGCTTTGAATTATCCTGGTTTTGAACCACAATTCTCAGACTCCTGAAGAGCTAGGATGACAGGCGTGAGCGACCAGTGCCCCGCTCATCATCTTTATAATAACAATAAAAAAATAATTAAACCAGGCACTAGTGGCTCACGCCTGTCATCCTAGCTCCTCAGGAGCATGAGATCTGAGGATTGCAGTTCAAAGCCAGCCTGGGCAGGAAAAGGCCGAGAGACTTATTTTCAATTAACCACCAGAAACCGGAAGTGGAGCTGTGTCTCAAGTCATAGAGTGCTAGCCTTGAGCTGAAGAGCTCAGGGATAGTACTACCCAGGCCCAGAGTTCAAGCCCCACAACCGACAAAAAATAAAAAAAGATGATGGACAGTAATTTTTTAATTTTTTTGGGGGGTCCGGCCATGGGGCCTGAACTCTGGG